CTTTTAAGCTGCAGCTGTTGAAGCTGAACCTCCTTTGCAAAACCAGCATTTCCTCCCACATGGCCGCGAATTGTGGGTAATGTAGTTTTTTTTAGAAACGCTTTTTAATTTTTAATTTTTTTTTTTTTTTTAATTTACCTGCAGTTTATTTTCTCTTGGGTTTTCAGATTAAGATTTTCCTCTCCCGGCTGGAGCTTAGCTGGTAGATTTGGCAAAGGGATGTTCTCCTGATTTATAAAACCTGCAGCCCTGGGCTCGACGGGCTGGGATTCAGGCAGCTGGAGCTGCAAAGCTCTCCATGGCAGCGGAGGGGCAGTGGCCTGTGGGAAAGTTATAAACTTCTATCACACACACTTTTAGAGAAACGTTAGATCCAGCCGAGGATCCGAATTTCACGAGGCGAGCGCCAGGTGAGGTGTGTGTGCAGGTTTTCGGTAAGAGCGGCTGTATGTTGAGCATTACGCAGAGCTCCAGGTGCGCGTGTCCGCTGTGGCTTGTTATAAATAGGAACCCTGTGGCACTGAGAGGTAAGATTTGCTTTGCCGGTGCCACGTGCAGCATGGTATGGCAGTGCAGAGCTCAGTAAATGTCTTTTAGTCCTTCCCGCCCCACATGATGAGCTCCCACAGTGCCTGGCGTTTTCCAGCACTGTGCACTCGCTGTCTGCCCCCGGGCAGGCAGAAGAGACAGAGCTGCTGGGGGGTCCTGACAATGCCACAGGACAAGGGGAGGCAGATTTACTCTTTTCCACCCATGGCAGGTGGAAAAAACACAGTATATTGTTATGGTTTTCTTCTGCATGTTTCTCGAAGCATTGGCCCAGAATTTATTTTAAACTTTGCAATCTCTGCGAAAGGCACAATTACAGTCGCCAGCCCTGCAACAGATACAAAAAACTAAGAACACGCTCAAGTTACAAGCAACTTACTATCGCATAGTACAAGAAAGAATGAAATGAGCATTTCCGAATGAAATATCCAGTCGCTTCAGCAGCCTCCAGAAGGTGCTGAAATACTTTGACATTTCCAAGACTCTTTCACACTTTTCAAACAAGCTCGTCACAGTTTCTCAGAGCGTTATGAATCTGGTGAAACTGCATACTCTGCAACTCTCGTTTCACTGAAGCTTCAGCCAGGTCTTGCTTCAACTTGGCTGTCTCTGGCGTTCTGGTCAACTAGGAAATTGCATTATCTCACTCTAATTAAATCAGCTTTTCATCTTCAGCTGGAGTTTTCGTTGGGTTTTGGTCGTGCCATCTCCACTGCACTGCTGTGAGTGATTAAGGCATTAGCACACCCCCCCCGGAGTGGCTGCATTAAACCGTG